GGCCAGCTGGGAAGGACACGGAGCAGTGAATCCTGGAGTGAAGACCCCCTTGCTGCACCCCCCCCCCCCGCCCCCCGCCGGCAGAGGCCTCTGTGGCAGGACCTGGGGCCCAGGGTGGTTTCAGAGTACTGGGCGGGACACACAGTTTGAGGGGCGACTGGAGGCCAGTTATGTTGGGCCTTGTGAACCAGGATGACATGCTTGGCCTTAGTCTCTGTGCCATGGGAGGTGACTGCACGGTTTTGAGCAGTGTGTGTACCCATGTGGTTTGCAATTTAAAAGATCCCTCTGGCCTCTGGGCCGAGGCTGAGCTGGGGTACGGAGGGGGTGGGTAGAGTGGAGGCAGCTAGAGTGTTCGTCCAGGTCCAGGTCCAGGCAGGAGGCGTGGGTGGCTTGATGACGGTGGTGGCAGCGGGGACAAGGCACACGCAGGTTGTATGTGCTCTTCTGGGAGAGCCCGGGGGTCTTCGTGCGGATTGGACTGTGGGGTGAGGCTGGGAGAAGAGAGGCAGGGGTCCGGGCCTGGGTCTGAGCACTTGGCCCGCGAGGAGTTGGGTGGTGGTGAGGAGACCAGCAGTTGTGTGCGGGCCCAGCGGAATGGAAGACGCCCACTGTGCGTCTACGTGGAGACAGTGCAGCCAGCATGGAAGTTCCGGAAGACGGAGCACAGGCTGTCGTGGGCGCCCGTGGATGCCCATGGCTGGGAGTTCGCCCATGAGGGGAGCTTCCAGAGAGTGGGCACTGCCTCCGAGCTGAGGGCAACGCGGGTCAGGAGAGGGTGTGCCGTTGGCACTGTGGCGGGAGGGGAGGCGCAGGGGCAGCGTTTCCTGTGCCACGTGCCTGGTGTGCATGAGGACCACGGGCTAGTGACGCTATTAAACAAGGTTTTAGGGGACCCGAGCTACCGTGCCTTCAAGTCGCCATGACAGGGAGGGGAGGTGACGTCCCCTTGTGGTTCTGTTTCTCTTTATCCGTTTGAGAAGAGATGTAGGGATTTATGAGTAAGCTGCTTTCGGGAAGCGGCCGAGATTTGCCTGCCCAGACGCAGCGTGGGCAAGACGAAGCCTGCCCGAGCCTCCAGCACCACCGCCTTCTCCCAGGACGCCGAGCCGCCGGGGCCACCGGGTGATGGCGCTCCACCGTAGCGCAGTTAGAAGACATAAACCGGAGATGAATTTTTCTGGACGTGCTTCAATGATCTCTCTTTAATTTCGGGGCCCCCAGCCCCGTCCCTTAAGCAGGTGCGCTGCCTGTACTTCATTCCCAACACACTGTTGAGCCTCCTGCTTTTTTAACCAGAAGCTAGATTTTTGAGACCTTTCCCAAAAGTATGTAATGAGCTTTCTCCTTCTTTGGCCTCTCATCGTATGGCCGTGCTGGTTTATTTGCCCGGCCCCTCCATGGGGAACGTGTTGGGCCCCAGTGTGGCAACGCTATGAGATGTGGTTTTGTAGCCTCGTTCCTGCATCTCCACGTTGCACGTGGGCGAGTATGACTGTCGGATGACTTCCTGGGTGCAGTTACCAGGTCAGAGGGAGCGTGCTATTTACATTTTAACAAATCACTGCCAAGAAGGCGTTCGTAGCTGCTGTACCAACACCCGCTCCCCTTGGCCATGGGCCTGGTTTGCCACTTCAGGGCTAACAGCCTGCTCTCCAAGTGCTGGGGCCACCATCCTACCAAGTTGAAATGCTGTTGTTACAGAGTATTCTTTTCTGTTTCTCTTGTTATGAGGTTGAGCACTGTTTACATGTTCAAGAGCCTGTTTTTCTTTTTTGTGCGTTTTCATTTTCTTGACCTGTTTTCCATAAGCATGTCAGTCTCACTATAGCTGTATGGAGTGTTTTCTAAATTAGGGCCAGTGGTCCTTCGTATGAAATAAATTGCAAGTATTTTTTCTCACTTCCGTGTCTTTCGACTTCATGCCTAGCATTTTTTTATGTAAAAATTTTTGAGGGGTGCTTGGGTGGCCCAGTTGACTAGCTGTCCGACTCTTGATCTTGGCTCAGGTCATGATCTCACAGTCATGGGATTGAGCCCCTCATTAGGCTCTGTGCTGAGCACGGAGCCTGCTAGGAAATCCCTCTCTCTCTCTGCTCCTCTCCCTCCCTCCCAATCTCTCTCTCTTTCTCTCTGTCTCTCTCAAATAAATACTTAAAAATTTTTTTTGATGTTTTGGTAGATGAAACGTCTGTCTTTTTACGTCCTATAGATTTTTGGTAATGGACGTTAAGGTCTTTATCTTACTAAGGTTTTCGTCAGTGTTGTTATCATTTCACTTTTGAGGTTTAGGTATTTGCTCTGCTCACTCTTCTGCTTGGTGTAAAGGTGAATGTGCAGATCCGCTGTCCTTTCTTCTCTAGGTGCCTCTGACGGGCACGGCGGCCGTGACGCGTCTTTCCCCCGTGCCTGCCCATAGCCCTTGCCTTCACTGCCTCGCGTCCCTGGGAACCTTTTCAACTCCGTTTCCGCCTGTTCAGCACACGCTACACCGTGGGAAGCTTAACGCCTTCCTCCCCCGCATGTCCCAGTCTGCTGTTGGGCTGTAGGGATTTTGTGAACATACCGCTCTGAAATCACGTTTGTCGTACACTTAGAATATTTTGTTTTTTTAAGGAGAAATTCTCCAAAGCGCCTTTTATTTCCACAACATGCTTGACTTGGGCTTTCTGTCGGTTGTCTGAAAACTGTCGTTTTCATGTTTTCCTGCTTTTATGGTCGTCTGAGGCAGGAGGGTACATCGTGAGTCCGTTACACCTGGAAATGGGAGGGATAGGTGGAGATGTTAACTCTTTTCAGCCATTCACTGGAGTAGACAGAGGTCAGTGTGGACGTACCTGATCTCAGAACCACCTCACTTGAGCAGTGTCATAAGCTATTATCTCAGAACTTGCAAAATCCACTTTCTTTTCAACTCCTGCGTTGTCACCCAGCTAGACCGTAGTCTGGGCTATAAAGTCTCGGCGAATAAATGAGAAGAATTGAGAGCAGACAGAGTATGGCCTCTGAGCACAGCGAATTCACGTTAGAAAACCGGAACCAGATGGTATCTAGAAATATTCCAAGTGTTTGGAAATTAGCTCATCTAAATAATTGATGTGTCAAAGAAAAAAATCAAAGGGCAAATTAGTTAATCTTTTGAACTGAAGGACTATGAAATTTTAGGATCTGGGGGATAAAGCTGAAGCAGTGCTTGGAAGGTACTTTATAGCTTTAAATGTTTCTACCAGGAAAGAACAAAGGTCTGAAAGCAGTGACCTTAAGTTGTACTTTGTGAAGACAGAGAAGGGCCCAATAAAAGCCGAGTAAGCCGCAGAAAGAGGCGAATGGTAAGAACTCAGGGCCGAAGTCAGTGACACAGAAAACAGAAACACACTAGAAAAAATTAACCAAGGCAAGATTGGTTCTTTAAGATCAATAAAATTGGTAAAAAAAAAAAAAAAAAAAAAAAAGGACGCTCTGGGCAGCATCTTGAAGGAGGGCGTGGCCGTCACGGAGCCTCCGGTGGACTCCAGCATTGGCTAAGGCACATGAGGGCCCACAGCCCAGGGCCAGCAGTGTTTCAAGCCAGAAGCTTTTGGTCCTGACTCCCACTCTAAACCCTCATCGTGTTTCCCTGGCTGTGGCCCCCTGAGCGCACCGCCATGCTGTTTTTCCAGAGCCCTCTTTGTCACCGGTAATTTAAATCCCCTCCTCTCCTCCAGCCTCCTGAATGCCCTGCTCTGGCCCTCTGGTTAGATAAAACTTTATTGTTTCTCTAATCCATGAAGTGTGTATGTTGCCCCTAAGACATTTCTGTCTCATTCTGTACGTGTGCGTCTTCTTCCACTGTTAGCGTGTGGGCCTCAGGCTTGTGGCCTAGCTCCCGGCCACTTGAAACGTTGCACTTTGAATGAATGTTCTTCTGGAAAAATGTCTTGAGCTCTAAAAAGCTTAGTTAAGGATGCTCTTTACGACCACTTCTGCATATCTGGCTTGGAATGCCTGAATTTCCATTGTTGCAGTTTGAGGACTTACCCTGGTATGAAAATTGAGAATTTTGAATATATCCATTGTTACTAGAAATATTTCATATCAAAGTGGCCACCAGTTATTTTGAAGGCTGTGGAAGAAATGGAATACATGTTTAGCTTTTTGATTTTTTTATGAGCAACAGTGTGTTGGGGTCGTTACTGCGCTTCATTCGGTTATACTGAAATGTGTACTTTGTTAACTTTTTGGCTAAGTAGTTAAATACATTATGTCCGTAAATATATTTATTGCTTCCCCGCCCCTCTGACTGCTATAACCTCGGTGGTAAACCGTATCCTCTTTGGTTCCTAAGAGTGCTGATGGCCTTTGGCAGATAGGATTCAGACTTAATAATACGATACGATACGGTCTTTTTAAAAAGTTGTCACAGGGGTACTTTGAAGAAGGACGCTGGTAATCTGTGCCTCGGGGTCTCCCTAAGTTGGTCTTCGAGTTGAGTTGAGTGCATTGCTTGACGGTGAGGGTGTTTTCCTGGTAACGGGAGAGCTCTTACAGACGAGGTGATCAGGCCCCTGTGCCTTCCAGGCTGTTGGCACACGTTAAATAGAACGCATGACACGTCCCGTTGCTCTGGGTGATTTTAGCACTTAACCTTTTGAGTAAACAGTTTAATGTGTTTTCTGTTTATACCTGAACTTGTAGCTCAATTTCATGTCACCGTTAAAATGAAACTTAGAGAAAACCTGTATAGAGTAGGCCCTTCCCTTCAGTGGAGTAAATGAATCATTTCGATACATTTTTCAGAGGTAAGATTGGAGAAACCCACTTTGAGGGTTTTTATTCCCTTTTAGAGCTGCTAATGGAAAAATAGTCGGTGAGCCTCTTAAAACATTTTAATATTGCAGTGAATCCATAATTTGATAGAAAGAAGTGCTTTTGTGTGTAATATGTCTCTATTAGAGTCGATAAGGCCATGTGCATTTTACTGTGTTTCTAGTAACCACACTTTTTTCCTCCTTTTTTCGTAGGTTCTTGATTATTACAGACCATTTTCTGAAGAGCCCAGAATTGGTGAAAGCCATGTATGCCAAAATGAGCAATCAAGAAAGGTAACCCCCAGAGCCAGTGTGGCTTTGAGTATTTAGCACATGTGGAGCGGCCCGTGCGCATGACTGACGTGCCGTGGTTTCGTAGCTGGCACAGAACCCTAACACAGGCTTCTGGCTCAGGAATGGTTTTAAATGGGCCGTGTCGCGCTGCTGCCCGGCCTCAGTGGACGGTGGTTTCTGTGGGGCCCAGACCCGGGCTGATGGCAGCGCCGGTGACCGTCTGTTCGTCCTCCGGCAGGGCTCAGGGCCCCATAGGTGTTCCCACCAGGCTGGCACCACCCACCACCTCCCTGGCGCGGCAGTGGGAGGAGCGGTGCCCTCGGAGCATGCGGCCCCATGCCCCTGAGAGTCCCTCCTCGTGTGCCCCTGGCCGGGCCCTGCGCCCACAGGGGTTCGGTTTCCAGACACAGATGCGGAGGGGACGGCGGGCAGCGGTTTCCAGGCTGACCCGGGGCACGTGCTTGCCTTGCCTCGTGAAGACGAAAACGTCACCAAGAAGTCCCAGGTCCGACGAGCAGAACCTTTAGAAAATGTTAATCTTTTGCCTGCCGTCCCCATTTTTCTAATTGCTGTAGTTTGGGACTCTTCCCGTGTATTTGGCTTCTTCCCCGGTTCACTCTGTACGCTCCTCTGTTGTCTCGCCGGGCAGTATCTCTTTAATCTCTTCGAGGAGAAGTTTGTGCTTTTATTTTATTTATTTATTTATTTATTTATTTATTTAAAATGTTTTTATTCATTTCTAGGAGAGAGACAGCGTGAGCAGGGGAGGGTCAGAGAGAGAGGGAGTCACAGACTGAAACAGGCTCCAGGCTCTGAGCTGGCAGTCAGCACAGAGCCCGACGCGGGGCTCGAACCCACGAACCGCGAGATCATGACCTGAGTGAAAGTCGGACGCTTAACCGACTAAGCCACCCAGGCGCCCCAGAAGTTTGTGCTTTTAAAATAATCTCAAATGCCATGTTTATAAACCCAGTGCCCCCGCCCCACCGTGTGCATGCTTCTTTTGCAGAAAAAGAATTATTCGTAGTTTTTGACCTAAAATGTGTGGCACGAGGGACAGTGCTATAAATTAGGAAATGGCTTTGCAGTAAGGAATACCTGAGCATGAGGAGAATAATCCGGTTGAGTTGTATGGTTTTTTTTAATGTTTATTTATTTCTGAGAGAGAGAGACAGACTGTGAGCGGGGGAGGGGTAGGGAGAGAGGGACACAGAATCTGAAGCAGCTCCAGGCTCTGAGGTGTCAGCACAGAGCCCCATGCGGGGCTTGAACTCATGGACTGTGAGACCATGACCTGAGCTGAAGTCGTTCGTTTAACCGACTGAGCCACCCAGGTGCCCCTTGAACTGTATTTTAATATTCAATTTATATTCTCCATAGTCCTTTCTTTTTTTTTTAAATATAATATATTGTCAGATTGGCTTCCATACAACACCCAGTGCTCGTCCCGGCAAGTGCCCTCCTCAGTGCCCATCACCCACTTCCCTACCACGTTTCGGTCAGAAGATCAGTGTTTAGGCTGCTCCACTGCGTAACCAGGACGGTGTCAGACTCAATATTTCCCGTTTTTATTTAGAAAAATGTCGCAGCCCCTGCTCCTCTCAAGTGTTTGCCTGCACGTCACTGTGCTTTCATCTCCGCGTGTCCTTCATCGTACGTCGTATTGTGTCACGTACTCACGTGCCGCCTCGTGACAGTGCCCTTGGGCTGTTGGCCTGCAAGGGTGCAGATTTCGCCTCTGATTCTGGGGTGTCCACGTTTCTCAGACAGCACTTGGCACGTCATGGGCTACAGAAAAAGTTATTTGGATGAAAACATGAGGCGAATGGATTTTTTCTTTTAATGTTTATTTGTTTTTGGGGGGAGGGACAGGTGGGGGAGGGGCAGAGAGAGTGGGACAGACGATCCCAAGCAGCCTCTGCACTGACAGCCAAGAGCCCTACATGGGGCTCGATCTCACGAACCATGAGATGAACCTGAGCTGAAGTCGGATGCTTAACTGACTGAGACCCCCAAGCGCCCCGCGAATGAATGTTCTTGCTGTGGGAAGGTCTGTGCAGTGAGTACGCTTACTCATGCCATACTATCGGCTGAGTTGGAAACCCCAGGGTCCCCCCTCAGGCCTCTCTCCCCTTGCTGGGCCCCGGGTCAGTGGCCTTGCTGGGACACCTTCCCTGCATCTCGTGAGCTCTCTCTCATCACACCTCTGCTTTGCCCTTAACGTCCTCTTTGACTAGACCTTGGCTGTGGCCTTTTTAAAAATTGTGATAAAGGACAAATAACATCATAACATCGAGTGTAGCACTTTGATGGTGTTCACATGTGTAGTCTAGCAGTGCTGTGTACATGGACACTGTTGTGTGGCCAGCTTCCAGAACTTTCTTGTCTAGCAAAACTGAAGCTGTCCTCATTAACAGCTCCCCGTCTCCCCTCCCCCAGCCCCTGGCAGCCATAATCTGACTTTCTGTCCCTCTGATTTTGGTGACTGAGTGCCTTTTGTAAGTGGAATCTTTGTCCTGTTGTGACTGGCTTATCTCACTTATGATGATGTCCTTAAGGTTTATCTGTGTTGGGGCATGTGTCAGAATCTCCTCCGTGGTTTGTTTTAATTTTTTGAACATTTATTCGTTTTTGAGAGAGAGAGAGAGAGAGAGAGAGACAGAGCATGAGCTGGGGGGTATGATTGGGGGAGGGTCAGAGAGAGAGAGGGAGACACAGAATCCAAAGCAGGCTTCAGGCTCCGAGCTGTCAGCACAGAGCCCGACGCGGAGCTCGAACTCACAGACCACAGGTCTCTGAGTGGAAGTCGGATGCTTAACCAACTGAGCCAGGTGTCCCTCTCCGTCCTTTTTGAGGCCGAATCCTCTTCCGTTGTGTGGATGGACCACATTTTGTGGACACTTAGGTTCCCCCTGCCATTCAGCTCTTGTGACTCAGGCTGCCCTGATCGTGAGTGCATGGCAGCCTCAAGTCTGATTGTTCTGAGGTTTGTGTTTCTCCTTCCACGTTACCTGCCGTCCTGCCATTTCAGCGGCCGTGCGGCCTGTCCCAGGACGCAGCTGAAGTCCTGGCGTGGCTGTATGAGGCCCTGTGTGACGTAGCTTCATTCCCAAGCCCTGCCCCTTCCCTCCCGGTCACACGCTGTGGCGACCTGGACTCCTCTCAGTCCTTGAGGCCTTCCCTGTACTTTGTCTTTGCACATGTCCTTTGTCTTCCGGGACCGTCCTGGCCCCCGCCTCTCCTCCTGGTGAATGAAAGCTGACCCTCGAGCCCATGGGTGTGACCTGCCCAGGCCCGCTTATGTGCCGAGTTTTTCCAGTAAGCACAGGACTGAGGTCTGTGAATGTATTTCGCCTCTTCCTTATGACTTTCTTTTTTTTTTTTAATTTTTAATTTTTAACAATTTTTGTAGTTTTAAATCCTTTTTTTTATTATTATTAATCAGAGAGCACGAGTGAGAGAGGGGCAGGAGTGAGGAGAGGGAGGAAGGGAGAGAGAGAGAATCTATGCAGGCTATGTGCTCAGGATGGAGCCTGGCCCAGGGCTCAATCCCACAACACTGAGATCGTGATCTGAGCCAAAATCAAGAGTCAACACTCAACCAGTTGAGCCACCCAGGTGACCCCCAACGTTATGAGTTTCTAAATAGCATTTTCTTTTCTCTAGCTTACTTTATTGTAAGAATATAGTACAAAACCCATATAACATACGAAATATGTGTTAATCAACTTATGTTATTGGTAATGCTTTTGGTCAGTGGTGGGCTATTAGTAGTTAAGTGTTGGGGGAGTCGGAAGTGAAGCATGGATTTCTGACTGCATAGGGGGGTCAGTGCCCCTGTCCCCTATGTTGTTTAAGAGTCAGGTCCTTGTCAGAGCTTATCTGAGCTTTTTGTGGTGACCCACTTGGCCAGTTGGCTGAAGGTCCAGCTGCCTCATCGCCCATGGGGTCATTGCTGGTATGTGTAGGTGGGGGAGGTCGCAGGGAGGAGGGGAACTGGGGCTCAGCAGAGGCACTCTGTCTGTGGCTCTTGGGTTCCCTACAGCCTCCTTTTCAGGCAGTAATGGATAGTTCTGCACTTGGAGTTGTACATTTGCAGGTTAATAGGATGGAAAGGATGAGTGTTTTCTCAGCAGGGACAGGTAATGAATGCACGTCCCTCCTATGCATCTGGTTGGTGCTGGGTGCCACCTTTGTGAGGGTGCTGAGAACGTGTCATGTAGTTCCGGTGAGGAGCCCCCTTGAGAACCATGTGGGGACACGTGGTGCCTCCTCTGAATTGCCGGAGGAAGAGGAGTGCCCTGGCTGCGGCCCCGACCTGCTGCATCCCTGTGTCCTGTTGGGGTCAGGGCTGCTGGATTTAAAAATGTTTGAGGAGGGTCACCTCGGTGGCTCAGTCAGTTAAGTGTCTGACTTCGGCTCAGGTCATGATCTCACAGTTCGTGGGTTTGAGCCCCGCGTCAGGCTCTGTGCTGACAGCTCGGAGCCTGGAGCCTGTTTCAGATTCTGTGTCTCCCTCTCTCTCTAGCCCTCCTTCACTCATGCTCTTCTCTCTGTCTCAATAATAAATAAACATTAAAAAAAAAATTAAAAAAATAAAATAAAAATGTTTGAGGATCAGTCAGTAAAACAGGTGGTATGTTTATTAAGTGCATCCCAGTGGTCCCCCGGGCATCATGGTGACAGTGAGATACCGGCCTGGCCCTTGGCGTCGGCGGGTTTGGCCAGAAGGTGCTGGGCATGTTTTGCTGCCCTTTTCTAGTGCCGCTGCTTTGGGCTGTCACCTCGGTTGACTCCGAGCTGCTTGGTCAGAAGTTATGGGTACGGAGTCCCAGTCACTTCACGTGGCTGATTCAGCAGAAATGAGAGTGCGTTCACACGATTTTCTGGTCCCCCTTCCCACCGAATTGCACTATTCCCAGATTAAAACAGCTGCCCTTGGAAACCGCTTTTGCAGATTTCAGGCGTGTGATCTGTGTAGCAGAGAAACACACAGTGCAGTGGTCCTGTGGCTTTGGATACGTTGCCTCTGCTCGTGGGACTACGTTTCTTCTGTAGAATAGCGATCCGAGAGCAGCTGCCCCCTGACGTGGCCACAACTAATTGAAACATGTGACGAGTCCGTCGGTGCCTGGCGTGTGGTCCTCGCCGGTCAGTGAGTTGCTTCTGGGCCCCTGCTCCCGCTCCTCCTGCTCCTCCGCGTCCTTGACTTGACTTTCCCTCCAGGGAGCGCCGTGCAGCCTTCCACTTCATCCTCGAAAGACCCAGCGAGATGGAGCTATTCTTGCCATTTTCCACCCTGGGATCTGGGGCTTTGTAGGTTAAGGTGTTTACCCTGGGTTGCAAAGGTGGCTAGAGTGGTGTTCGGACCCAGTGCGTCTGATGCCAAGATTAGCGATCTTCCTGCCGCACAGGAGTCTCGTATGCCTGTCACTTAGTAAGGGACCAGCGAGGGTAATCCAGCCACGGCTTTGCGCCTGCATCTTGGTTATTAGCTTGTCCAGGTTAACCAAGGGTTGGGCCTACTGGCGCACCATGCAGCAGCCCGCTCCTGTGGGGCAGTCCAGGTGTAAGCCCCCTGTTCACCGGGGCCGCCAGTCCTGCGCTGACTTGCAGATATTTTATTTCCAGAATTAGAGAATATGATTATATGCCCTGCTCATAACACTCGCACCCTTACACCTTCCCTCTCCTTTGTGCCTCAGTCCAGTCCCCCCACAATCACCTTGCCCATTTCAGGGTGCTACAGGTGCGGCCATTAAAATCGTAGCCCATGTTCATCTAAGCATGGCTTTCAGATATAAATTTTCTATAGAATTTTTCCTTAAAATCCTTCCCATGTACATATATTGCTTTTTTTTTTTTTAAATGAAACGGGAATCCTGATTTTGAGCACAGACTGTGTAACTCTTTAATCAGAGGTGAAGCAGAAATAGAATGCTAATGACAGCCAGTGGTCAGGAGAGAAAATTACAGAAGCTTCAGTCTGCACTGAGGGGTGTGTCTGGTGACCCCAAGACACCCCAGTGAGGACTCCTGGGTCGAAGGAAGCGATGCTGTCACACTGATGTGTGACTTTAGAGAGCTAGTCTCTGATCTCTCACTTCTCCACCCTTCACCTCCGGGTGAGTAACCAAGTCAGTGAGTGAGTAGCACTTGTACGTTGTTATGTTTCCAGGGAAGTATCCGGTGGTCCCCCACGGCTGGTAGGAGTCAGGCCTCCCACATGACTTCCCTGTTCATGCAGTGCTTTCCAGCACACACGTTTTCTGGCTTAGAAATGGAGGGGCAAATGTAATGCACCGTTAAAACAAACGAGTTTGAAAAAAAAAAAAGTCTTACTCGAGCCCTAAGTCCCATGTGTGAGTCCTGCATTTGATGAGAGGATGGCTTTTGTTGGAGGCTAGAAGAAAGGGGAGTTGGACAGCCAGATGGGGCCTCAGGTTGGGACGGTCCCATATAAATGGCAGACGGAAGTGTTTGAGGCACTCCCTAGTAATGGGAGCCATTGAAGGTTTTTATTGACAGATAAAAGAAGTCAGATCATTTAATGAAGTGACATTGATTCTCAGGTGATATTTAAACTTGATTTGCATTTTTATATTTTGAACGTTCACTTTTTAAAAAATATACATATATTTTTATATTTATTTTTGAGATACAGAAAAACAGAGCACAAGTGGGGGAGGGGCAAAGAGAGGGAGACACAAAATCTGAAGCAGGTTCCAACCTCCAAGCTATCAGCACAGAGCCCGATGCGGGGCTCGATCTCACAAACTGTGAGATCATGCCTGAGCCGAAAGTCGGATACTTACCCGACTGAGCCACCCAGGTGCCCCTGAACATTCGTTTTTTAATTTTTTCCTTAAAATCGCTTACCTCTTCATCTGCTGGGCTGTCCCATGTTACCGTCACACAGTAGAGATGCCTCTCCTGAGCAGGGAGAGGCGTGAGGGGTGGGTGGGCTCCGGTGAGCCCGTGAAGAAGGCAGCGTCTGCGCTTACTGCTGCATCCAGCAGACCCCACTGCCAGGTCTCCCTCGGTGTGTCCCCTGGGACTCCAGGGCCTCGCTGCTGCCGGACGAGCTTGGGCACCACCCTGGGCCTGCCCTTGTAGCCTCGGACCTCACAGAGCTCCTTCAGGCTCTGCTCCTCCCGTTTCTGCTGTTTTGAGTCATAGTCCGCAAGGTGCCGAGTTCCCTGAAACGAGACCTCATGACTTGTCGTACCCAGGGGCCATTGTCATGCCTGCCCCGTTTAAAAAGAGTATTTTTAGTGCAGACGTCTGGGCCCCTTTTGGATCAGACCTAATAGGTGGCCTCCTCTCCAGCGTTCCCGGAAAGTCAACGTGCCTGGGGAAAGCAGAAAGCATGGCCTCACGGCCTGAGAGGACCCCGTTCAGTTGGAAAAGCTTCTGTGTGAATCAGGGAAGACAAAAATACCCCAATACTGAACTGTTGTTCTTTTGTACTCAGCTGAGAGGGTCATCTGGTTGATTTTGGATTAATAATTGCTATAAGAAATCTGAGGGTTTTGGGAGTTTTGAAAACTGGTAAGGTCTGTGTGTGATTTTTTTTTTCCCCCAGACGGATGATTTTTCCCGTCATTCGGCAAAAATACAGGAAGAGTTTGGTATAGTTTCATTTCAAACTTGAAACTTACAAGAGTAAACAATTCTCTATTTTGTTTGGTAAGAGTCGCACCATTCCTACTGTAAGTGAATTTCCCCCATTTGCTAAGCATTCCTATCCTTTCTGGTTGAGAAATCAATGAGAATTATACATAAAATCTCAAGTCACAGTGTGATTTGATGAAGCATCCTGCTTGGATTATGCTGGATAGATTGCCCTGTGTGTGATTTGTTTTCTTTCATCGAGAAGGAAAGAGTTTGTTGAATAGAAATACTTACAGGATAATTTAAGTGTTGATGTAAAATGGCATAGGTTTGGTCTTGAGATCTATGTCTTGGTAAACTAAAATAACGAAATCAACAAAGCCAGCCTTCAGCAGGGTGGCTAAGCGCGTGGCTGAGGCCTGTGGCCCAGGAGTGAGAGCTGGAACCCTGTGTTTGGATCCTGACACAGCTCGGCACCTGTGACACCAGGCGTGCGAATTGGCCTCATTGAGCCCTGTTCGCCATCCTTAGTGCAGGCAGTGACAGGGCCGTTTTCTCAGGTGTTGTTAGAGTAAATGGGATCATGTGTGTAAAACACTTGTTGGCCCAGGAGTGACCTGTGGATAGATGTGAGCCCCCTCAACTTTGCTGTTGTTGCCCTTGTAGACATGTCATAAAACTTACCCTGACAGCATTTTAGAAATACTGAATTAAGGGCTCACAGTAAAGGACATATAACGGGCTTGTTTCAGTAGCCACATCACATCATTGAAATCAAGATTTGAAAAAACAGGTAACTGATGAAGATTATTCACAAAAAATATTTTCCCTGGCTAGACATATAAACAGTAAGAACTTAAAAATGAAAACATCCTCTTAAAGTGCGCCCTATAAGTATTTTCAGCATGGTGCAATTTTCAGTATTACGTATTTACGTGAAAATCTTTTGCGTTTTACAGAGTTGCGTTGTTGGACCTCATCATCGCGAAAATCGTGGGTGACGAGCCACTGACCAAGGATGACATCCCGGTGTTCTTGAGCCACGCCGAGCTGATTGCAAGCACGTTTGTGGATCAGTGCAAGATGGTGCTGAAATTGACCTCAGAGCAGCACGCTGATGACGAGGTACAAGGACAGGCTCATAATCTTGGATGAGAGAGAGATGGGGAGATTTTCTGACCCAGCCAGGTCCTCTATGAGAATTCTCTTTTAAAAGCTTTAAAAAAATAGGGCGTAAATAACATACAGACTGAGTGCTTGTGCCCTGCCTCCAAATTCGTGTGTTGAAAGCCTGGTGGCCCACGTGGGGCCTTTGGGGGGTGTGGAGTCCTGAGGGTGGAGCCCTCATGAATGAGATTAGTGCCCTTATGAAGGAGACCCCAGGAGGGTCCCTTACCCCTGCCACCATGTGAGGACACAGTGCAGTCGGCCACCTGCAGTCCGGAAGGGGGCCTTCATCGGAACCCGGCCGTGCAGGCGCCCTGACCGTGGGACTTGGACGCTCCAGAACTGTGAGCCATAAATGTCGTTTCTAAGCCCCCCATCTGTGGTGTCCGTTACAGCGGGCCGTGTGGATGGATGGTGTCCTTGCTCTAGAACAGTTTGGAACGCAGGTAAGGGGAAACAATGCCCTTCTTCCTACCATCCAGAGGTAACGACCTGAAAAAATTTTTGGTTAACATATTTTTCTAGGCAGATAACAGCAAATATATGCACACGCACACGCACAAACATGTATTATGAACAAGGAAATCGTGGTGTGCTGTTTGTAAGTTTCTGTTTTTTCTTCTCCTGAGTGTAAGTTTTATGAGGGTACAAGTTTTGACTCTTACGTTAATGTTTATAGTACTGTGTACACAGTAGTCACTTAGTATTTGCTGAATGAAGAAACAGTACATCGTGAATGTCTTTAGAAAAGCCAGTGTAGCATTTCAGGCAAAGCATTTGCCATAGCTTGCCCAGCTGTTCAGTTGGGCGCTCAGGTGGTTCCTGCTTCTCTTCACTGTGTCAGGGCTCCAGTCCATCCCGTTATCTGTCATCAGGGCTCCAGTCCATCCCGTGCCCTGCCATCAGGGCTCTAGTACATGTCTTCACAGTTATGTCTTGGTACATTTTCCTGGTATTATCCTAGGAGTGAAATTGCTGGGTATAAGGGTGTATCCCGTTTTAAAGCTTTTGGGACACGTTTTTAAATTGCCTTCCAGAAAGTTTGTTTCTTCTGTCCTTGTAGGAGATTCCCGATCATGTACCACCCTGGTTAGCTTCTTCAAGTATTTTTATTTTTTTTTAATCCTCCTCAAGGAGGATCCTGCCCTGGATCACTGAATCTCTACTAAGGGGATGGAAGCTGGCTTATGTTGACCCTGCTTTCCTCCTCTTCACTTGAGAAATTCTCTTTATTTGTGTCTGTCCCATCTTCCTTCCTTTCCTTCTTAAAGTTAGAATGAGCCTTTCTCTGGAACATGACTCAACAGTAGAAGGGGCTGTGCTTGTCACACAGCAGCAGAGAGAGGAATCGCAGACCTGCCGCCTGCGGGCAGCCAGAGCCGCGGGCAAAACTTACTGATGTTAGAGCAGACAAGATGCCAGCAGGGGCTGCAGGTGCAGGGTGGGAGTGATTGTGGGGGACACGAGGGAACGTTCTGGGTGATAGAAAGGTTGTATCCAGCTGTGCACATCGACACAGGTCTGTACCGGACACTCAGGATGGGTGCGTTCTTATTGTGTCGTCTGTACCTCAGCACCTCTGCTGGCTGGGCAGTGGTGGGTGGGCGGGGCTGCCCTTCCGCAGGCCCACCCACCCTGTGACCGTAGCGTTTCCAGGAGTGTGTGTGACGCCACGAACCTGTCGGTTACCCTTGTAACCATCGGCCGTCATTATGACCCTTCCACTGCGGCAGCAGATCTCCTTCTTGGGGAATATTCTGGTTTTCAAGGCTACTTTGCTATCAGTTTTCCACACCGTGTCCCGTAGACCATGTTCACTCTCGCTGTTGAAGCTGTTATTCTCGTTCTCATTTCTGTGATAAAAGAGGGCAAATCTCTACTTCCTGCTGCCTTTCCCTTCTGGAGACGGATTTGCCTCTGTTTCCAGCAGGAGGAGCAGTGAGCTGTGCTTCCATAAAGGTTTACAGATCAGTTCTCCAGGCGGCAGGGCACTTGTATTCGTACTACAGGCCGTTCCAATGTTATCATAAGAAATAGACTGATGGAATGATTCTTTTTTATTTTTCAATTTTTGGGGTTTTTTGAGCGAGCGAGTGTGGGGGAGGGACAGAGAGAGAGAGGGAGGCACAGAATCCCAAGCAGGCTCCAGGCCCTGAGCAGTCAGCACAGAGCCCGACACAGGGCTCGGACCCGTGAACCATGAGATCATGACCTGAGCCGAAGTCGGACGCTCAACCGACTGAGCCACCCAGGCGCCCCAGTGGAACTTTATATTGAGGAAAATTTGTGTATTTCTTTCAAACAGTTTAATTTCTAAGATGGGAGGAATTATATTAAAAGAACTTTATTTTAAGTTTATTTTGAGAGTGAGCAAGTAGGGGAGGGGCAGAGAAAGAGAGCGAGAGTGAGAGAGAATCCCAAGCAGGCTCCACGCTGTCAGACAGAGCCTGATGCAGGGCTGGGACTTATGAACTGTGAGACCATGACCTGAACCACAACTAGGAGTCAGACCAGCATAGCCACCCACATGCCCCCGTTTTCGTTTGAACACTATCCTGTCTTCCTTCTTTTTGTCTTAAAGCTAGAAAGGTTAGAATGGTTCTTTCCCCAGCGGTTCACTTTTTAAAAATTCATTAACCTCTATCCTCCTCACTTGGGCACATTACCGTATATGTGTTCTCCTTTAAGTTAGAAGCTTTTAAAGAAGCCACAGTAGTTTTTAAGGAGACCTCCGACCTCAGTATTTAAACGTACCATACACCCAGTACTGTTCTAGGGCCGGCCCACGCTGGCTGCCGGGTCCGTTGTTAACTATTCAGAAATCTCTGAGCTGTTAAATCCGCCGTGGTGAAAGTGTTTACACCATGGAAATCAGCCAGTGCTGCCGATCAGGGCTCTCCCTTCGTGCCTCCTCTCCCCTCCCGCCTCCTCTCCCCTCCCCTCCCCGTCTCCCCCAGCCAGCAGACCACAAACCACTGCATTTACCCAGCTGTGATGTTGTAGGACAAGATATCCAGGAAGGTTCTCATCATGCTGTGGCCCAAAAATTGGAATGAAAAGTCATGTTTGTATCATCTGTGTGTTAATTTATGTAATTGTGTGGATTTAACGTCCTGAGGTTTTAAAATTCTGAGGGTTTTTTTTTTTTTTTTTTCAAGTCTTCTTAGTAAAAATAGTCCTAGGTTCTCACATGAACGTGCGTGTTTCTGCCTTTGGTATTTTGTGTTTCTGATTTTTTGTTTTTGTCGCTCCTAGTGCGCTGCTTATCCCGTAGGACTGGCGACTCAGCTAGCTTTGTCTCAAGCCTGCGTCTTGTTGCTTGTGGTGAGCCTGGCCCTTCCTCTGGAAGTGAAAAATATTTCCTTCAGTTTTGTGTTGTCTCGTATTCATCCGTGAGGAGAATTGTCTGCAGGTGGTGGGTTTCTCAGTCTGTTTTATCCTGTGCTCCCCAACTTCAGTTGTGGTATCTGTTCCGGTAGTAGGCATTTCATACAGGTTTGTGGAGTCAGAACGGGTGATCTGTCATCCCACAGACTGATAAGGGATTAAATATTTGTACTATGCAAATAATATTTGCTTATTAAATAAGCCAAGTTCAAACTGAAGTCAGCGAAACGAAAAGCCCTCATTCTCGCCCAGCCCTTGTCTGTTTTCTGCGGATATATCGGCACATAGTTTTTCCTTTCAGAGTGTTTTGTGTGTACGCACTGCTTTTTGTCGGTTTGTTTACAGCACTCCTTCTGTGTGTCTTGTGCACCTCCTCTCTCTTCATAAGTGAGCCGTGTCTCCCTAGATCGAGGTGCCAGAACTTTCTCATTGACCCTCTGTCGACTTACCCTTCAGTTGCTTCCGGGATTTTCTTAAAACCCTGCCCCAGTGTGGGTGTCTTTGCAGTTTTGGACAAGCAGATCTGACACCATAAATTCCTGGAAGTTGAATCGCTGAGTCAGAGTCCGTATTTAAAATTTTTAGAGAGATTTCTAGATGCTGTACTGACAGGATGAGAGCGTACGGCTTTGCAGCCTTTTACTAATCCGACCTGATTACCTTTTCTCCTTAACTGTTTTGGTGTCCAGCATTGCATTTGTCTTTCGGGTCAGTTTACCTTTTAAAATACATTCATTAGTGAGCATTTTCAGAAAATTCGTGTTTTTGTCACATATGCAGGAAACTTTTCTTTCCCCATAGTTAATGCTTTGTTTGACTTTATGACATTCTTAGCCTTGTAGAAGTTTTAATTTTTGTTTTTATCTAGTTAGGCTTACCAGTTTTATCCTTCTGGTTTCTGTAGTTTGTATATATTTTGTAAAACCATTTCCACTTAGAATGTGGAAATAATACACCTGTATATTCTAGGGTTTTTTTTGGTACTTTGTCCACATTTTTAACTGGCCTTGAATTTACTTTTTGAGTAAGGAGTGAAGTATAGATCCAAATGAATTATTTATGTCCTTTGATGAACCAAGAGTATATAAGCTTTGGTAAAGGACTGCTTGGCTTTGAATCTTGATTTCCTGTATCATTGGTGTGTGATCTTCATCTTGGAAAAGTTGCTTAGCCTCTGTGCCCCAGTTTCTGTACCTGTAAGATGAATGGTATTTTTTTAATGTTTATTTATTTATTTTGGGAGAGAGATGGGGGCGAGTGCATGCGAGAGACAGAGAGAGAGAGAAAGAGAGAGAGAGAGGAGAGAGAGAATCCCAAGCAGGTTCTGCACGATTAGCACAGTCGATCTCACAAACAGTGAGATCATAACCTGAGCGGAAACTAAGAGTTGGACACTTACCTGACTGAGCCACTCGGGCGCCCCGAGACAAATGATATTTCATGTAGGCATTTGGTATGCTGACTGGTACATAGTGTTCCCCAAGTATTAGCTGTTAATTGTTGGACCAGTACCATTTAGTGAGTAATCTCATCCTTTCCATTAATTTTAATGCTACTTTTGTCATATATCAAATTCTTATACAATTTTGGATCCCTTTCTGTGTTTCCAACCTTTTACAGAGAGAGCCAGTGAGATACTGATGACCATCATGTCAAAGGGCCACTGCCGGAATGAACTTATGCATAGATGCACATGCTGGTCTGTGCACAAGGCAGTAATCAATGGCATTCCAACCAGACACAAGTAATCTGCCTTTCTGTAGCTAAGAGTCATTTGCATTATTATCAGTTTTCCACAACTTTAAATTTTGTAAGGGCGAAGTTAATCTAGCCACATGGTCTAGATGGGAGTCTAGTCTTCCCCCCTTCCCCCCGCTCTCTTCCCCGCTCCCTTATTTTTTAATTTTTTTTAAAGTTTATTTACTTATTTTGACAGAGAGGGAGGGAACGAGTAGGGGAGGGGCAGAGAGAGGGAGAGAGAATCCCAAGCAGGCTCTGTGCTGCCAATGCAGAGCCCAACGCGGGGCTCGAACCCACAAACTGTGAGGTCATAACCTAAACCTGAACCAAGAGTCAGATGCTCAACCGACTGAACTACCCTCGTACCCCATCCTATTTTTTAAGAAAATGTTTTTCCTGGCTGTTTTTTCATTATTAATTTCCGAATGCTCATTAGAAACACATTATTAATAAAAGGATTCTAATGACTAAAATTGGGCATGTGTTAGGCTGAGATAGATTAATTTTCTTTTGGGTTTATTTCAGTTAATATCATAGAATTTAGGAGCTGGAAGGAAACTCCTAGGTTATCTCTTCAACCCTTTGATTTTATTATTACCTCTTTATCATGGAAAATTCCCCACAGACTAAGAGAAAAAAATGTACCGTGAGCCCATCTCCTGCGTCAGCAGCTCTCCTCTCTGTTCATTACTTTTCTTGTTTTGTCCATAATCTCACCTTCTACCTTGCACTGAACCCAGATTCCCACATGTTTCAACAGCCCAATATTGTGTATGTTAAAAGATGAGGAGTCACACGTAAGTCAACTACCGTTAGCTCACATCTAAAAAACTAACAGTGTAATCATATCAAGTAAACAGTACTCAGATTTTTCCCACTATCGAATAATTTTGTTCTAGTTTGTCTTTGAATCCGGATACAAATAAAGGCCATGCACTGCAATTGGTTGCCGTGTCTCAGATATGCTTTAATGTATATGGTCCCCTTTCTTGCCCCTCTGTTTTCCCCCCTCCGCCCCTTTGCTAATTCTTGATTGAAGAAACTGGGACTGTCTTGCCTGTCGAATTTCCCACAGTTTGGGTTTTGATTGTATCTCCGTGGTGGTTCAACATATTCTTCTTTTCCTTGCATTTCCTGTGACTCATCATTGGTTCCAGAAAGCTGTGCGGATTTGGGTTAGGTTTTTGTGTCTTTTTTTCCAGTAGTGTTTTATTGTTGGTGACGTGTGCCTTCATCAAGAGGCGCGTAATGTCCGGTTGTCTCTTTCTGTGATGCCAGCGCTTGTACATGACTGTTACCTAGGTCCCTTCATTCTTTGCCGGTTGCAAAATGGTGGCATCTTGACCCTTTATCATTCAGAAACTTCTCCTCCTCGGTAATTAGGTTGCACACAGTGTCTTGTGTTTCTGAAGAGAGAACAGGCGTTCTTCCCTCCCCCTTTGATTGTCGGTCTTCAGAGCACTGAGCTGGTTTTGTGACGTCATCCAGAGGTGACGCGTGAATCGTTCTGGTTTTCATCACCATTGTGAAGCCATGGTTTTTAGAGCCACTTGATTCATTTTCAGTCCACTTTAGCTGTGATTCTTCCCGATGTTCTAATGTGCCACTGCTGGCCAGTGGGACCCCTTTCAGGTCGCTTCCTATCCCTTCCCCCAGGATCCTGATAGTCGCTCCCAATCAGCCTCTTTTGGAAGGAGGAATGGTGTCTAGAGGTGACAGGGCATTAAAAATATGCGTTGTTTCTTTTGAGATGTCAGAACGGTAGGTTAAAATATTACCTTTGACCCTCCTAATTGGAGAGAAAGAACTACACATTTAGAATTAACACAACGGAGTAATTTATTTTTCTTTTGAACAATGTTGTCTTTATGACCTAAATGTATAGTATCTACCACAGTTTGTCAAATAGTGGATACTTTAAAAACTAGGGTCAAAACATGCACAGAATTGGATTTTCACGTTTTATTGAGATGACCTAACACCATACGGTTGGTTTCTTGCTCGTGTAGTTTGAGAATCATTTATTACAGAACTGACATTTTCAGATAATACTGTCTCTCCTAACTTTCCCCCGTATGGTACATGTAGATTTATATTTCCCCAGAAATAATGCAAGTTCCTGCAGCTAGAGTTCTTTCAACCACAGCATTTTACAGGATTCCTGTGGACAAGAAATTAATGTATTTCATGGGATATTTGTATCTTTAAAGTAGAACTTGCTTGCTGGGAACACTTTAAAAAGAAAGTATTTGCATAAATGTTATGTACGTAGCTAGTAATTTTGAACATTGACTCCACTGTTGGAAGGTATTTTTGCTTGAATAAGAACTTTTCTGACTCTTTGCTCCCAGAAGACACATAATGACACATAATCTTCCGTTCTCGATGGCAGATGTTGCTGGTCGTGAAAATGGCTGTTCGTGTACATATTTAATGCTTCGGTCTCGTTCTTGATCATTTTGTTTCTCTCTTCAGACGCTCTCTTAACAAGCACCACCTCTTTAATATTTATTGTCAGAGGCCATTCTCTTACCGTTACTTACAGCAGTTGCAAATCATTCAGCTTGACTTACAGGTTCCGTTTTCTTTTTCCAGGAGGCGTTGGCCACAATTAGGCTTCTCGATGTCTTGTGTGAAATGACCACGAACACCGATCTGCTCAGCTATCTGCAGGTTTTCCCTGGCTTGCTGGAAAGAGTGATTGGTGAGTGAACTATCACACTTACTGTTATTTTTAATTAAGGAATCTTTGGCTTGTCGCACAGAAATGGAAGTCCAAACACAGATCCTTAATTTTAATTGTATTGGTATATTTTTGAGATTGTTTTTGGAATAATTTTTTCTTAACAAGGATCACTGTGTTTTGGGAACAGCTCAGGCTTCTGCCACTTGCCTGCAGTGACTCAGGATGCCTGATCAGTGAGCGAGAGGATCGGCGCAGGCTGCACACGCAGGTGTTTCCTCAGGAGCATGTGGTGTGGGCGGTCGTGGTGATGGGGACGGTTTTGATGCTGAGGGTAGTTTCAGTGATGACGATGATGGTGATTTTTATGTCCGTTTTCCAAATTTGTTAGAAGATTTTCCCCTATTACCTCTATGGACACAAAGAATAATGCCCTACACATAGTAATTATGTATTCCGTTCTTACAAGAAAATGCTTTTAAACAAGAAGCCATTGTCTGGAGTACCATCTTAGCTAAAAAAACGGTTCACAACATAATTCAAGTAGAACCCGTTCCTTGTGGTTAGCTATGCTTATGGTGTCGTTATTTGCTGTGCTGTTTTTTTCCTTTAAAAAATTACTATATTTCTTGTGGAGATGCATACGCTAAGAAAGATGGATTGTTTCTAGGTGGGCAGACGAGTCAGTGGGGAGCTGAAGAAGATATTTAGAATCCCCTGTGAGTGCTTTATTTTGAATGCAGTGCTTTTAGTGACGATCAAAATAAAATACCACTGACCTACGAAACACAATCATTGTTGAAAAATGTGCTTGGAGCCAGGGCCCGTGTGGGCTGTCCCCCGAGCTCTGCCAAATTACTGCCTTCCCTGAGCTTGAGTTCTTTGTTATGAAATGGAGAGAATGATACTTGGCCTTTCATAGGTTTGTTGAGAGTGTTAAATGAGATAACGTGGAAACACTTCCCTACAGCTGCTGGAAGGTGCTCTATTTTCATATGCTGTCTAAGGGGCATCTCATGGAGCATAGCAGTGTTATTACTTTTGCATGTAGCCAGAGTAGATCTGAGATCTGTGGAGATACATGCTGCCTTCCGATTATCTGGACGATGAGAAAAAAGTGAGCCGACTTCTCGGTTTCTGTCGCACGGCTTGTTACAGGATCGGGTTGTATTTTAGTCTTCGCCGACTGCCGTTGTCATATGCGGTCCTTTATAAAGAAAGAATGTGGGGTTGGAAACCTCTTTATGAGAAAGGTTGCAGCAAATTTTTAGCTGCCTTTCCTTTGTGGGTGGAAAGTCCATGCCCGGATGATCACTATGGCTTATCTCCCCAAAACCAGAGTCGTGAAAAAACTTAAGACGAAAGAAGAGTTTTCTCCTCTTTATTTAAAGAGAGCTTTCGATACTCTACCTTTATTTCATTTTAGTCCATTAACATGAGTTTGATTTGTAGATGGGAAGCTAGTACAAACGGTAAAACTGTTCTTTTGGAAAATAAAGCTTATTGTTTTGTCTGTGTAGATCTTTTACGACTGATTCATGTAGCTGGCAATGACACCCCAAACATCTTCAGCGCCAGTGGCTGCGTCAGAGCGGATGGGGACGTCTCAAACGTGGCCGAAGGTTTCAAGTCTCATCTTATTCGTCTGATTGGAAATCTGTGTTATAAGAATAAAGATAACCAAGACAAGGTAAGATTGTTTCTCAGGATGTTTCCTCCATCGACAGCTTCCTATAGAATATGATATGCAGAAGTTAGGATATGTACGCTTTTCTGGAATGGAAGTTTGCCGAGAACACAGTTGGAGATACGAGGTATACACATACATCTCGCAGATACGCATCATGTGTCGTATTTGTTTATATTAGGGTTTGTACCTTTGTCATCTTGCACTGTTTGTGTCCTTAGTGTGTTTCAGCCACTGTCTTTTCTTACAAATTGTCAATGTTTGCTCTCAGCCTGGGCGTTTGATCACATTTTTACTGTCACTAGGAAATAGTCAATAAAAACAGATATTTAAAAGGCTAGACATTTCAGACACAAAGTACACATTTAATAAAAGTAGTTATTATGGACCATTATCTTAATAATAATGAAAAAAACCCTTAAATCTGTGACCTATGTTTCTGGATGATCGCATCATCAGCATGTCTTCCAGATATTTCGAAGTTGAGACAATGTTTAAGTTATGAAATCTTTGGAAACTCCGTAGGCAGCCGCTTGGGACCTCTTTTGTGCTGACCAGCTTAGCTGTGACTACAGCAGAGCATGAAAGGGCACTGATAAAGCCTGCAGGGGAATTGGGGCATGTGCTTCCCGCTGACCCAGCCTGCTTATATCTTCCTAGAGTTTTCTTTGGGTGGCATCTGTTTTGCTTCATGAAATACCGAGTATACGTGCCACAGATGATATTTTTCCAAGATGGCTGCAAAAACACACCTGCAGTTTGACGCTTTCATTCTCCTGTCAAGGATTAGCATTTATTTCCCTTTTCTCTTCAGTCTGAGGTGTAAAGCCCCGTGGCTCCTTTGAAGAATAAAATGTGTTGGGAGTGCTCTCGTACCATTTCTGATACAGCCCTGACGGCTCTCGCAGATTCCACTGCTAGCCTCTTAAAAGCCAGTAACCACGGAAGACGTGCGTATGCCTTGCGGTCACTGTGCCGTGATGTGGCGAGTCTGCCTGGAGACGCCCTGGGGGATGAGCCGTCCTGAGGACAGAGGAGGAGACGAGTCAAGGAACGCCAGGGCAGCAGACGTGGGAGCAAGAAACCGTCTTGGAAGGTTTTGGGCCGTTGCTCAGACCCTTCATCCCAAGCCCCGCCCCCCGGCTGCATGGCAGATGCCACACGAGCCAGGGACAGCCTGCCCAACAGAGCCCTTCTGGATTCGTGACCCACAGTGTGGCGAGAAGAAGTGCAAAACTGGGGGAGAAAACCAAGTTGTGCGGCTTCTGCTTCCGTTAATAGCCCTGTGTGCTACCATTGGGCAGATCCCCCCGCAGATAATACTTGTTACGTCCGGATGAAAGACAGCCATGTGAACAGAATCAAATTTGACACAAACAGGAAGATTTGGGAATTAAACTTCCACTCGGAAGAATGGAGCAGGCCGGTGTGTGCTGAGCAGGACAATTATTAAAGCTCTGAAAGAAAATCTGTACTCCCTTCACCTTAAGGAAGAAACGGACGGTTTGGAGCAAGTGCAGCCATTGGAAAGTGAGGAGGGACTCCTGGGCAGGGGAGAGCCGGCCCCAGGTTCAGGGCACCCGCTGTCCGAGTCCTTGCGGATGCCTGAATCACATGTGCAGGGCAGGCCCAGCAGCTAAGCTAAGGATGAAACGATGGTGCTGAGATTTGAGCTGCCTTGCCAGAGTTTACAGTTTGACTCCAACTGAGATAATTGCTCGCTAAAGCCAAAAAATTCAGCGTTTTCTAGAGGAATATAATTCAAGAGTTTCCATGACCTTGTGTTCACTATGTCCAGGATACAATCCACAGTTACTTTAAGCACAACAAATATGCCCGTTTTCCAAGAGAAACAAAGATGGCTGACAGAAACTGCGGGGACACAGACACTGGGTTTAGCAGACAGATTTTAAAGCAATTATAACTAGAGGCGCTTGGGGGGCTCAGTCGCTTGAGCGTCAGACTTCGGCTCAGGTCATGATCTCACAGTTTGTGGGTTAGAGTCCCCCGTTGGGCTCTGTGCTGACAGCTCGGAGCCTGGAGCTGCTTCAGATTCTGTGGTTCCCTGTCTCTCTGCCCCTCCCCTTCTCGTGCTCTGTCTCTCTTCTCTCTCTTTCTCTCTCTCAAAAATGAATAAACGTTAAAAAAAATAAAGCAATTACAACTATGCTCAAGGATGTAAAGGAAAATATACTTCTAATGAATGAAAAGAAAGTACAAACTCAGCAGAGAAATAGAACTGAAATAAATAAGTAAATGAATAAAAGAGCCAAATGGAAAATCTAGAACTGAAAAACATGGTATCCAAAATAAAACTTAAAAACCTTATTGAACAAGCTTGACAGCTCCGGGGAGGTGGCTGAGCCAAGAGTCGGTGTGCTGGGAGATGGGACAAGAGAAGTCCTCCCGTCTGAGGAACAGAGAGAAGACTGAAAGCGAAACGGTCCCCTGACAGTGCTGAGTTTCGCGTGTGGTGCAACACTGGGTCCCGGGAGTCATTTCTCCCGGACATGGCGCAGAACCAGATGTCAGACGACTGGGTCTTCTACACATACAGCATTTCAACTCCTCCCCATTTTCAGGCGGGTCTGAGTGGAAGGCTGCTAATCCCCTCCCCACCCTGGAAATTTACTGGGACGATGTTTGTAAGAGCAAGTCGATAGAGAATAAAAACCACTTTGCCTTTTTAATGACCAAGACTGCCTTCCCTGAGGAGCACAAAAGAGGTGGTTTTTCCTGTGTTTAACTATTCTTTTGTTGCTGATTGGGATAGGCCTCTTAGAGGAACAAAACGTAGTAACCCCTAAAAGGCTTATGAAATAACTCACCCAAGTCAGGATCAGGCTGCACCATGAGTAAACATGGAGTGTGCCCACGTGCTGCTGTGAGAGGCCACGGGGCTCACGGGAAGTCGGTGATGTGTTCCTTCACATGTGTGATTGCTAATCACCCTCCTGGTTTCTGAGCAAACATTCTTGAAGGTATGTAGGTATGAAGCAGTTCACTCTTTGAGTCTAAGAATGCCCCCGTTTCCCCCGCTTTCTTACCTGTGCCAACGAAATGCCTTCCCTGAACCCATTAGTTATGGGCTTTGCTTCTCCTTCCAAAGAATCAGCCACAATATCACAGTCCAAGAAGCTTCTTTATTCTTGTAGCCAAACCCTGACCCTAGCTGGGTGTTACAGACACTGACCTTGCTCATTGTTGCCTCAAGGGATGGAAACACATGCACGTAAGATAATTCTAGTCACAGTTTTAGAGGAATGGAGGATTGTGAGGATTGTGTAGCTGGTCGTTACCACCAGGCTGCTCACTCTCTCTGTGTTGTCCAGAGGAAGGTGTCACTTCTACCTGGGTTTGGGCCCAAAGGGAAATTTGGCTCTGTCTGTGCTCTAACTCTGTTTGAGTCGGGGGGCTTTTGTGGTCTAGCCTGACTTAGTTCATCCTGCCCCCAGAGGAAGGGACTGATGGCCTGTTGAGTGTTTCCTGTGTCCCAGCATTTGACGTTTGTGTCTGCTAACCACAGAGCCGGCTCTGCTAACCACGGTTTAGGTGAGGCCACCTAGTGGGTGAGTTGCCGTGTCCAGAGTAGTAGTAAGATTTGTCTGACTCTGAGCTCCTAGGCCTGTACCATCGTGCCTCTCATTTACGAGCTTTCCGGGATTTGGAAAAAGAGGTTCACGGCAGACTTCCTGATGGATTTGAGACTGAAGGTGCTGGTGGCTGGTGAAGGTGCATGTCCTCTGCCAGCCAGGCCCCTTGTGCCCTGTCCTGGCTCGCGTCTGGCACTCCGGGCACTCACGTCTCTGTCTCTGATGCATCTACTTGTCAAATGTGAATGTTCCCAGCTGTGGGGATCTTTTGTGGGATAAAACAGGCAGGAATCTCTTCCTGTGAAGCCTCCACTCTAAAAGCGTCTAGGGACTAATTATCCCTGCCTCTTTGAACTAGGATCCCAAAATGACTGACAGATTTTCCTAGGCCTTCGTGCACTGCCTGCTTGCCCTGAGGTTTGATCAGAAGCCGTTTAAGCCCGCCTGGGTCTCTGGGCTTGTCCGCATAAGTGCATTCTTTGCACTGAATGTGGTGGCCGCCTCCGGCTGGCACCCTTTACGGTTGTGGGGCCCTCTCCCTGTTGTAAAGATCTTTTTATCTACATTACTTTGTTGGAGGCTTATGATGCTTCTGTGGAAAAGCCTGAAAAGATACCATCATCATTTTCTAAATGAGGAAATCAAGGCTTGGAGACACTGTGATTTCGTTCAGTTAGCATTTTCCTAATAGAAACGCCTGCTGCGTGCTTGGGAGGAAGCTGGGCCAGCTTCGTGGGGGGTCTGCGTGGCACTAGTCGCTCTTAACGAAAGCCCGTGGGGGGTGTGTGGCCTGTCCGAGAGGAGCAGGTGAGTGGTTGGCCCTATGGGCGGGCTGTGCCAGCAGCAGCCCCCCTCTCTGCTCAGGGACGAGAGCCGGACTGTACCACTGTCAAGCAGGGTCACAGTCCCCCTTTGCATTTGTGTGTCTGGGCTCCGGGTGAGACAGTCCAGTGTGCCTGGCCTTGGAGGGAAAATCTGCTCGGAAGGTTATTTCCCCAGTCGCCCCGTGGGCCTTGAACTCTTAATTCTGTGCCCATGATGGGTGACAGTGTTTCTTGAGTTGTAAGAGGGTTGCTAGACTCCCTTTTGCCAGGTGGCCGTAAGGAGCTGTTCGCAAACGCTTGGTGACTTCTGTTCTTACCTTGTTTTCTGCGCTCGACAAATCATAGTATCTTCTTGCTGCGTCTGTAGTGATTAGTTTACTTTTAAACCTTTGTGGACCTGAAATGGAGATTCTGTTTTGGTTTCTATTGTTTGAAGCACATGGGTATTAATGCTGTAAACACGAAGAAAGCATTCTTTGGCTGCTTCTTTGTTAGCCGAAGGGCATGCACGGTTTACTTTTTTCTTCCCTGTTCTTCTTTCCCTTTGCTATTGTCAGAAATGCTCCAAGGGAATTCTTCATGAGAA